AAAAATAGATAACTTGATTCCACAATGTCTAGGAAACACATAAGGGCCAAGGAATAGACAAAATTTTTGAGGAACAAATTGAGGAGAACTGATCCTATGGTATTGAGCTTATTATAAAGCTATAGTAATAGAGGGCATATAGAAATGCCAGGAGGACAACTTACAGGTAACATACAGCACACTGCACTGACTGCTGCTAAGGTGACAGGTCACTGGAGGAAGGGGAAGCCTGGCTTTGAGCAAGACAGTTTGAATGTCAATAAGCTACAAACTAAAAAACTGGAAACAGCAGAGGTTGCTATTGGATACAGGCAGAGTTTATAGCAGCTATCGGGTCTACATAGGAACAAGGCTACTTCAATTCAGTTAGAGCCCTGGTTAAAATCTATTCTGAAAAAGTGGGGTGGGGACAGAACCTTGGAACAAAGGAAACCCTAACCACTACCCTTGAGCTCAATTTTAAAATTTTACCTAAATCCTGATGTGGAAAAAAAAAATCACAATCCCTAAGGTGGTACAGAGTGATTCTGCCATTTAGGAATCAGTATCCAAGGGCAATGAGAGAAAGAAAAGGAAAACTCTGGGCACACCTCACTTCCTCTGGAGGTATTTTGGGAACAGGTCAAAGGTCAGGAATCAAGTCTAGAGATGCTCAACATTCTTAATGTTGGGTGTAGAAGTTAAGACTATCTTCTTGACTCTAAGAACCCAGTAATTATGAAGACCGCCTGTGATTTTATGATGGCTCTGGGGGCAGGAGACCAATCGGCCATTAAACACAAATGGGTAAACAACAACGACTGCAGTTTAAGAGGCTGGGGATGCTACCTGTTAGAAAGGTTTTCTGAGGGTAAAGAGCATGGGCTGCCTACAGGTCATTTATACTCACTCAGAGCAACTGTGAAGTACCAAAGAACGGAACCAAAGCAGAGAGAGAGGAGAAGGACAATATGACACTTAGGCCTTCAGTACTGCAGGTCCCCAAAGGTGGTCCAAGAGGCAAGGAATTTGTGGGGACACTGTCAAGCAAAGACCTCCAGTGTTTGTCACCTGACTTGTGCAAAGCATCTGTGATTCACAAAAGTCAACTTCTAATTCTTTCAACTTAAGGAATTCACTGACTGCACTCTCACCTAGTCAATGTCAGGAAATTTCTGACAGATTATCACACACTCTGTAAGCTTTCTGGACTACACCTCATAAGAGGGGGATATCACCTCTGAAAGCAACTGGACAGGAATTAAACACGAAGACATTGTCCTGAGCTTATCTGTCATTTACTTATATAGACTTGGATTTAGTAATTAACTCTGCATTCTTAAGGCTAGAACTGCCCTTAAAATAAAGGGAGGTGGAGATCAAGCCACGGGGTGTCTTAATTAGAACAAGAAGAGGCGAGCCTCTGAGGATCTTAGAACATTTATTTCTGTCTCTTGCCTGTGGGCATGCTTTGTGTTCTCCATGAAATCACAAAATTATTTTAAATTCCTTAGACTGTGTCCTTGAGGGGCACTGGACATGACTTCTGAGTCTGAGTGTAAAATTAATCCAAAGCATCTTAATTCTTCCCTGAAGCATGTCTTCTATCTTGGAGCACATTCAGGGCCTACTGCTGTTTTGTTGCAATTATCTTTTTGAAAGACCCCCCCCCCCCCCCCCCCCCCCCAGGACTTCTTCCTGAGGGAGTCCATCTCCTTTACTGAATATCCCTCTGGCCCCTCTCTACTCCTCTGCCTGTTCTTTTCAGGGATGCTCACCTTTTAAAATTGATGTTGATACCAATGATGGATTTGAACCCAAGATTTAACACACACACACACACACACACACACACACACACACACACCTACCTCAAAAGCCAAATACAGAAAAAAAAAAAAAAAAACCAAACTAAACAACAAAAAACCAAAACCACGGTGACTCTGAAAGCTATGTGTCCTTCTGCAGTAACCCTTGGGGACCCTTGTCCTCAGTCCTGTGTCCCTGACTTGCTTCTGTATAAGGTACCCTCTGCTTTTCCCTCCACTAGTGACTACTAATTTCCCTTCTGTGGTGATATCTTGCTTGTGCAAATAAAGCCTGTCTGAAGATCAAAGAATGGAGCTTGCCACTAGCTGACCATAGAGGCCTGGAGGTCTGTACAGACAGATAGGAAGTGAGGTAGATGGGCAGAGAGAGGATATAAGCAGGAAGAAACAGGAACTTGCTCTCTTGTCTGCTGAGGGGCTAAGGAGGTAAGGAATGGGTGTGGCTTGTTACTTCTCTCTGATCTTTTTTTGAACATGCAAGATATTACCTCACCCTTCCTACAACCATCAATTTGTCATTGATCCCACATACCAAAAGGGCCCATTTAACTTCTAGATTTTAAGTTTGTATTGTTAATGCTGTTTGGCCAACAATGCTGCCCACTAATACATCCAAATAAGAACCTGGCAACTTGTCTTTCAAACTTGAGCCTTATAGAATCCTCTGATATGGAATAGCTACCTTCGACCACCATACCCCAACTGTCTTCTTCTCTTCCCCTTCCCGCCTTTTCTCTGGCCATTCGTGCTACCCTCTAAGTCCTCCACAAGCCCTTGTGAGGACTTTCCAGGTTTTTTGGGGACTTGACCTTCTAGTAAATCCCACAAGACTGCCCCACCCCACACAGCCATCCCCAAGCTGGCAAGCAAGTGGTCAGGATCACCCTCATTACCTGCCCACAGACCTTCCAGCCCTCACTGCTAAAGGCTGAATGAGGCCACAGTTCAAAGGTGGCATCAGGGGAAGCCAGTGGGGCAGAGCTGTTTGAAAGTCAGTGGCCAGGAGCAGCAGGCACCCAGTAAGCGGGGCACCCAGTAAGTCCAACACAAACTGCACTGGGCTGAGGTGTGTGTAGAGAAGACAGCACACACAAAGGAGCAGCTTTCAGACAAGCACAGCCAGGCCAGAGGGGAGACAGATGAGCTAAAGCTGCTCACAGGGCAGCTCATACAAAAATCCCTCAGATATGCAATGCTCCCAGCCTGTTCCTCAAGACTTTGTACAGCTCACTAGGTCAACTGTTGCCCTTAGACTCTGGTCCCATCATCCCCACCTGTCTCCTCTTGATGCCAAGGACACTTTTGAAAAGTAATGATTTTCTGAAGACTCTTTCACAATTTCTTCCCTCACAAGGTTAGTCGTGTTTACCGGAGTCCTTCACCACAGGCCTCTCCCCCATTCTCTGGCCATTCCTACTATCTACTCCCAGTCTTCCACAAACCCCTGTGAGGACTTTCCAGGCCTTTGGGGAGGGTTTTCCTTAGCCAAAATCTTTCTTGGCCTCAGGAACTGAAGGCATGAGCCTTGGGATAATGCCTGCCTTTCACTAGTAACTGTGAGACATGGAGACTGGCATGAAGCATAAACTCAGTAGGAACTTTCTGACTAAGAGCTTCACATCCTTAGCCTGCCCGAAGTAAGTGCAAGGATGCTTTAACAAAATAGGGATACTGAGAGCTGGTGGGTAGCCTCCTTCCTACAGCCTTCTCCAAGACCTCATATATTCACTACCACTCTTCTGGACACTCCCTGCACCCCACAGGCAGCCTAAGCAGATTTTTCCCTGCTATCCTGGATATGGGACACATGGCTCCACTCCATAGGCCTCATGCAGAAAGCAATTGCAAAATTCCTGTCACTCCCAAACCCCAACACATAGCTATGGATGGCTGCACTACTTTTGCAGGGGGATGTACTGCCACACCATTGACCGTGGCTACATAATCCCCAAACAAGTCTTCGAAATAGTTAATTTTGCCATTTTAATAACTACACTAGATTATAATGAAGACTTGTTCAGATTAGCTACCTAGAGACATATCTACTATTCTAGATGATGGAAACAGAATCAAGCCCTCAAAGGACAACCAAGTCACATTCCACATCTGAGATACAGTCAAAAATGAGATGGAATTTCTCCTAATTCAATTAATTCCTTTCACTCTTTCCCACCCCTGTACTAGGCAAAAGTCTGGGGCCAAGAGACGCAAGTAGCAATGTAAAGCAGGGAACACTATAGTGGGAACTATTGAGAGGACACAAATGCATTTTCCAGTGAGGATGGGATAGCTGGGTAGGGATTTCACTCAGTGGCAGATCATGTGGCTAGCATATGTGAGGCTGTGGGCTAGAACCCCAGACCACAGGACAACAACAACAACAACAACAACAAACCCCAAACATACATTGGGTCATTAAAGGGCAACATACATTAGTTGTACTCTGGGAACTACTGTACTGTAACTCTCATGTTAATTTGTAATGCATTATATACACATACACACGGAAAAAACTTGAATTTGAGAAATTTTAAGACTTCATATCATTCAGATAATAAAGTTGCTAAGAAACAATTCAAGCAAAGAGAACAAATGTCCAGAAGCAAAAGCTCTTTGCAGTGAGACAAGCTTGAAAGCCCAACCAGTACATGGTAGGGCAAAGTCGGGACACAGTGCTTTCCTTATAGGATGAAGATGGGAACGAGAGTAGATTATTTGTCATCAGATAAAGGGCAGCTATTTTTCTGTATGTGACCATGTGCCGGGAGTAAGATTTGAGGGATGGTGTCTGAGAAAACAAAAGAAATAAGCACAAAATGTTCAACATTTTTCAGGAGGCCATAAAAGCCAATCATGGCAACCCAATACACAGTACAGTAGCATGGGTGAGAGCCTCTTATCCAAAATGCCTGCGAACAGAACTACTAGTTCAGATTTTGAGTTTTTTTCAGGGTGGGGGTATTTGCATATACACAGCTAATATAGCTTAGGAATAGGACCCAACTCTTAACAAGAATTCACTGCTGAACAGTGCTGGAGGCCACTTGATGTGGCGTTTTGTTTTGTGTATTGTGTTTTGATAATGACCTGTTGTATGAAGTCAGGTCTGTGATTGTCTACTTGTGACTGTGTCAGTGTTTAGTTTTGAAATCTGAATTTCTGGAGTGATTAACCTTTATTAGTGGTTCCTACCTGCCCAGTCTGATAATGCCTGGCAAACTGGCTGACTACTCGGTAGTCATTTGAAAAGTACTCCATCAGAATGGATGGAACTTCTGCAAAGTCAGTCGGGCACCTGGTTCCTAAAATGGGGAGAAGAAAAAAGGGAGTTAAAGCAACATGTTTGTTTTTCATATTATGTGCAGTTTTAAAACTTCTATTTGTACTTCTGATGAACTCCGATAAGCTTTAATTCATTGAATCAATATTTTACTTCTATAAAATATCTGTACATATTTGCAGAAAAGTTTATTATAATCCTATATATTTTTCTTTATATCAAAAGTAAAACAAAATATTTGCACAGCTGCCAAAACACCTTACAAAGCGACAGCTCACACCCTCCACACATAGCTTGTCTTCTGCTATACTGGCTTGACATGAAATACAAATTAAAACCCTCTTACAACAATTAAGGCATTTGTATTTAATTCAATGAATTCCATTAGCAAATGCTTTTAGCCTTCATTTGTTTTCAAAGGACTTTATTTAAGCTACATACTGCCTTGTTACAAAGTCAATCCTTAGTAAGGAAAATCAATATTTTAAATTCAAAGTTCCTTAAGGCAACAAATCCCCTAAAAACCTCTTGGTGACACTGAATTGTTCCAGTCAACACACCCACACTCTTTTCAAACATTTTTTCCTTGCTCAAGTTCTGTGTATTTGGAGTTAGCTAATCAGCAATAGATGCCAATACCTTACTAGTCAGTCAAATAATGACCACTAACAGTTGTGAGCTGGAAACTTCATATGAAGTAGAGCCAGGTGAGGAGTTTAAGTCCAGTATGAATTATACAGTGAGTTCAAGGCTAGCCTGGGTTACCAGAGACCGTGTTTCAAAAAAATTAAAAGAAAAAAACAAAACTTAGAGATAAAAAAAAACAAAAAGCCAATAAAAACATCTTAAATGTAATCAGGCATCATTAAAATTCATAAAGCATAATTACAATATTGTTCAGGGGTAGTACAGGTACAAATACTTCATCGTACTTTTAAGAAGTAATTTATTTTGTTTTGTAACAAAATACATGGAATTTTATTTTAAATGAAAAAAATTCACTCAGTAACTGTCCCAGGGACTGAGGAGACATCGCCCTATTCTTCCATACACACACAAGTGTCAGTTCCCTGTGGCATCATAAAATATAAATGTGCACAAATTCAAGATTGACAACTGAGAAGTCTTCCCATCAAGCAAAAACATCAGAAAAGGACCTAGAAACTCATCTGAGACGAAATACTCAGGAAGCAACGGCCAGACACCAGAAATACCACAGATTCCAAAACAAGCCTCCCTCACCAGTGACATGCTGGTACCGAGTTCGTCCGAGCATCGAATGCATGGCATGTCCCATTTCATGGAAGAGATTCTCCATCATCCCAGGAGTTAATAAGGTGGGGGAGTCCTTGGAGGAATGGGGAAGGTTCAGCATAAGAACAACGACCGGCAGCTGATAGCTTCCATCTTCCTTTATTCTGCCTCCTCGGATGGTGAAGTGGCAATCCTTTGAGAAGGGAAATAAACAAGACAAAGGTGTTAGACACTCTACAGAGCAATCTAGATATAAAAATCTATAGAAATATGTGAGTTCAGACTTACAACTTACTCAATCTTATCCTGTATATTTACTCCATATTTCTCTAAAACCTAAGTTTTTTAAACCACTAAAATGTATTAATGAATTCATTTAGTTACTCCAAAAACACGCATTGACCTGATGTGTACAGTGCTGGGAACAAAGGCACTGCAGAGCTGAGACCCACACTCTTATTGTTAACAGTGACTGGGAAGAGGCAATCATGTCTCTGCTATGTGTCAGGCAATCAAAAGAAAATCTTTTAGTCTGCCATCCTCGTTCCTGGGTAGCCAAGGTCTGAGTTATCTAAGTGGAGTCTGGAGCAGACATACTGTCACTCCTTCACAACGACATGAGGACAGACAACTAAAACTAAGCCTTGAAAATGTCAAGTGCTGCATCCAAGCACACTGGCTGGATGCATTGCCTCCTGGGTCTGAACCCAGCTGATTGTCAGAGGCCAGATCTGGGAATCCTTAAAACAGCCATCCACTTGAAAAAAAAAAGGGGGGGGGGGGAAGCTGGGACCTAGAGCCTGCTGACTCATCCTCTGGTCCTCTTTTTGATTCCTGCTAGCCAAACCACCAAGGAAAGCAATTTACCTCCATAAACCTGATTTGCAGACTGTAGAATGCCAACTGTCAAATCCCAGAATAAGTTCATCTCCTAGGCTCAAATGTTTTAGAAACTGTAGATCCCTATTAAATGACAGGCACCATTTTCTTCTGTTATAATTGGTACCTAAAGTCATAGTATTCCTCAATGAGTTGCATGAAAATCTAAAGGTGACCTGTGGGAAAATCTAGCATGCAGTGAAAGAAAAGAAGCAAACTGTGTGCTTCCCACACCATGAACTAACTGGCAGCACAACAGCTTCTACAGGCTCAGCAACTTGAGGAAAGAAAGGATTTATTTAACTTACACTTCCAGGTCACAGTCTATCACTGAGGGAAGTCAGGATAGGAACTGAAGCAGAAAAACCATGGAGTAACACTGCTTGCTAGCTTACGCTCTCATGTGTTCTTATATAGCCCAAGACCACCTGGCTAGCAACAGTATTAACCACAGTGGGCTGAGCCTTCCTATATCAATTAGCAGTCATGACAATCCTTCACAGACATGTCCTCAGATGTACTTGGTAAAGAAGACAACTACTCAGCTGAAACTCTTCTAGGCTGTGTCAGGTTGACAGTGCTAAGTAGGACAACTATCTGTCATGGAGAGGGGGTTGAGAGCTATGGTTCTAGACAGAATGTTTAGGGGAAAAGCCTAAGAACCTCTGTGCCCTGGGCAAGTGGATAATCTCACTGGCCTTAGATTTCTTGTTGTGTTAAAGCCTAGTTCAAAAGGCTGGGATAAACATTAAAAGGTGTGAATATATAAAGGGCTTATATGCTGGCTTTCAAAAATAAGAGCTTGTAAAATGTCACCAATCCTTATTATTAGTTTCATATCACATTCCAGATTCAGTAGATATGGGGCAGTAGCGATGGATCCATGAAGTTCTTCTCATGACCTTTAGTACTTTCGAATTCTATCCTATTTTCACATTTAGTAATTTTTTTGGTGCCTTTAGATATTATGGAACCACAAAAATGACATGTAAAGTTGTTCACATTCATACTGATAAACTGCTGGCCACTTCTAGACAAGACAGCTTGTAAAGGAAGGCTTACCTGATGTGGCTTGTTTGCTCGCTGGAAAAAATCACAGTAAATGTACCCCAGCAACCCTTCGGATTCATGAACAACAGCCTAGAATACAAGTTCAAATTCAGTGGTCAATGACCTCATCAAAACCCTCAAAATAGAACATAAGACCCTGTATATTAAATACTCATAGCCATAAACATTTTAATTACTTTTTATATCCCAAGTTTCTCAAGTTCTTTACCTATTTTGCTCTACTTCTGGAACATTTGACTTGAGAATTCTGTGTTCAGGAGAAGACATCCTCCTTGGGTCCTGTGTCCTATCTGCCCTTCCTCTATATTAATTGTAGCAACCATAGCTCTTCACAGAGGCTCTTCTCAAAACCCAAAAGGTTTGGGAAGAAAGGCTGGCTTGACAGTTTTAGTGGCAACAGTATTTTCCTTCCCTATCTCATGCAATTGATACACACCCTTGAATCCAAAACCAATTAAAACACAACTCTGTTTCCTATGCAGTCATCTAGCTCCATCTTGTCTGTTTTTCTGAACTTGGTGATTCTATGAGAATGAGCTCCAATTGGTTGTTCTAAATTTTCAAGCAAGTATATTCACTCAGGCACTCACTTGACAAGCACCTAGATAGCATCTCCTGGGTGCCTGAGGCGATTCAAGGCATCCAGGAGATGGCAATGAACACCATGGGCCTGGTGCTGCCCCAGAAGCCCAAGCTGCCACCTGTATCTGTCCCCCAGCCTGTCACTAGCTTTTCTTTTTACTACATCCTGACTTCTCCCTAACTTGTACCATCCAGGAAGTTAGTAACACGACAGGATATTTCATGGGTAACAACAGTGCTCTTCTAGCTTGACCTGTTTCATACCTATCCCATGCTCAAAGCATGGCCAAGGGGCAGCAAGGCAGCTGACATGATTGGGCACACAGTGAAGGAAGCACAGCCATCATACAATCAAGAGATAAATGGCATTGTCCCATGAAACCTTAGGGATAAATTAATATGGAACCAAGAAAGCCACAAAATATTCACACCCTAAGTAAAGTGAGTCTTAACAGGAGAAAGGCAAAACTCCAGGCTTGACGTTGTCATCAAAGTCAAATAAATCAGACACAGGATAAAATTAATGCCTGATGCAAAGACCACTGCAAATACATGAAAGACACTGACGAGAAGGGAAGCAATACATATGAGAACTACGAAGGAACAAGGCATTGGCATTATGTAACGAGGAATAAGGAACTTTTTTACAAGTAGAATTCATGACCATATTGAAGTGTGTAAATGAAAATCAGGGTTTTACCAGGTTTCCTAAGAATAGTTGTTTTGGAGAAATAACTCTGCTGTTGCATGTTCAGGTCCTTTATGCAAGGTCCTAATCAGACGTGGTGCTTGAACTTTTTATCAAGAGAAATGAGCTGGGCACCCTGTCAGAATACAATTAACTCAAAGGAGAAACTGCTGGGGACTGCTGGGGACTCACTGCCAAGGCCCAGGGGCCCCGGGTGGTGCCTCAGTCAGGGGAGGCTTACCAGCTTCCGGACATCATCACACCACACCTCTCCTTTTGCAGGCTGCTCTGCATATAAGGTGATGCCCAGCAGTTTGTTAAATAAGACGTTCAGGCCTTCCATACAAGCTCCAAGGGAGAAAAATGGGCAATATAAACTGGGCTCAATATTATACCTAAGAGAAGGAAGAGAAGGTCAATAGTGTTTCTTCAATTTAGTTCCAGAAGGTACATTCAGTTAACTGTTCATCTCTACTTAGGACCAGAGTGGCAAAAAAGAATTCACAGAAGGGTGCATTTGGCAGTCTGCAGTCTCTAGCTCTGCACCCAGTATTTCAAACAACTGCAGCCAAAAACATGTGGGTAGGTGGGGAGGAGAGGACATGTCGGCTGTATGAACTGGGTTTTTGAACTTGTGTGAGTCCCAACCTTGGCTTGGATCCTGGAACCCTGACTAGAGCAACGAGGGAATGAAGAAAGGACAAAAACACATACAGAAAAGCTGAGATTGAGTAATCTGGGCTCTCTGTTGGAGAAGCCACAGCACCTCAAAAGCTCAGTGTGGTTATTATATACAGTTGAACAGGAAGGCAAGTTATCGCATACAGCTGAACAAGGAAGTGGGTATTACAGACAAACAGGAAGGCAGGCTTATCATGCACAGCTGAACAAGGAGGTGGGTACTACATACATACAAATAGGAAGGCAGGGTTATCATATACAACTGATGAAGGAGATGGGTTATTACAGATAAACAAGGAGGCAGCGTTATCGTACACAGCTGAACAAGGAGGTGGGTACTACAAACAGACCAACAGGTAGACACGGTTATCGCATAAGCTGAACAAGGAGACAGACTTAGCTAATCTCGGAACAGTCTCTGTATTAGAGCAGTCTTCAGGCCATAACTATCCTAGGGGAGAAAGCCATGGTGGACATTTCGGCACACAGTGCCAACATCCCTTTGAGCCTCATCTGGGGAAGCCTTTACCACTTTCATGAGGCTGAGGCACCGGTCCTTGACATGGCCATGCCCATGTCAAACAATACACATTCACTCAGAACATCACTCAGTTCCTACCTGTATTTTTTCTTATTTTTTCTCTTTTCTCTTACCCCCCACACAACTAAGGATAATGACAGTACTCTAAGAGAGACAGTTAAAGTCTCTAAAAGGCTGTGCCAGGACCCCATGCAAAGAGGAGGTCATTCGGTCATTCTACGACT